ACTTTGTCACTGGGTTCATCGAAATCTCTGCCTTGTACGAAGGCTTGAAACTCACAACGCTCAGAGTGCGGAACCGGAGAGCAAAGCCGCAGCAGGTTCAATGCTGGTCTCTAGACGGCAGGTTCACGATGAACTGAAAATGATGGATTTTCTCATCAGGGGACATGAAAATTTCACCCTGGCAAGATGGTCTGTCCCCAGGCCAAGAGTCTGGCTGGGTGGGGAAGAGGGGACTCACTGCTGTAGCTTCCCTTTGTGGCAGGGCCTCGCATAGCACCACTGCCGACAGTTCCTCAGGTTCTGTGGTGATTTCTCCTGCCATGATGGGCCCTACAGCCGGATGCCTCCTGTGGGGATAAACAGAGAGTCCAGTAAATTAAACTCAAATCAACATAATTCTCCATCTCTCCCCAGCCTCCCCCCTGCCATCCCCCCATACAGCCCCTTCACCGCTCCCCAGCTTCTGCAGGGTCGTCGTCTGGCTCTTGCACAGACCAACGCTGACTAGTACTTTCTATCCAGAGACCCTCCCCCAAACTCAGCAGTGCTTCTCCTTCTTGTGCCGGGGGATCTCACCCACCGTTCCCAGGGCCCGAGACGGGAAACCAAACTCAGAGTGCTGTGGTGAGCAACTGAGATCTGCTCTGCTCTCTCAGACACCTCTCAGCTGCCTGCTGGATTCCTTCCTACCTTGGCTTTCCTTCGGGTCCTTTGCACAGCATCTCCCTGGGCTGTCTTCACAGCTGCTTCTCTCCAGACCTTCCCTCCAGGGACCAGAGAGAAATGGGAAAGCTTCTGTGACGAACTGGGCCTGTTCTTACTGTGGTCTGTGAATGCTGACAGGGGAGTGTGGCTAGGATAGTCTGCATTGGGGGATGGGAGTCTGCCCGAAGGCGAATACCGGAGCGTGTAACATGAGAACCCAGGAAGAGGTTGGAGGCCAGGTGACACCTTGGCCAGGGAAACTGAACAAAGGCGGTGGGAGGGGTCTCTGAAGGCAGAGTGCTGGAAGCGGGCTGGAGAGATGGCTGGGAGGCAGAGATGGCTCTGACCCCCCAAAGGCGGTGGGCTGGGATGCCCTGGGACCCCAAGCTGGACCTAACTGAGGGGGGCCCTGTTGTCTGTGCCTGCAAGACCTGTCTTGGACTGTATTCCTGTCATCCAAATAAACCTTCTGCTTTACTGGCTGGCTGAGAGTCATGGTGAATCGCAGGAAGCCGGGGGTGCAGGGCCCTGAGTTCCCCAATACTCCGTGACAACTGGTGGCAGCAGCGGGATCTACTGCACCCCGTGGACGGCGCTTCCTGCAGTAAGTGACTGGGGAGCAGTAAAACGACGGGGGATT